CATTACTCTGCTCTCCTCCCCACTGATAGCTGATGTGTGGGGAGCGTTCTGGCGCACTATGGCTGCCGTCGCATCATCCAGGTGGGGCTGCACACTGGGGGTGGAGGGGATCCCCATTACCTGTAAAGCGCTTTGAGTGGAGTGTCCAGAAAAGCGCTATATAAGTGTAAGCAATTATTATTATTATTAATTATTACGGGGTAGAGCACTTGGAAAATGGAGGGGTGACTGGATGCTCTTCGGCAGCGCAGTACCCCTGTCCTCCTGTCAGGGTACACGCAAGAATCACCCCCCCCCCGTCTCCTCGCAGGGCACGACGGTGTGTCACACGGTGGTGCTGGGCGTGGGTGTCATCGTGCTCTTCTCCAGCCGGGCCTGCTACAACCTGGCCGTGCTGGTGCTGTCCCAGAGCCACAAGGTGGAGTCCTTCGACTACGACTGGTACAACATCTCCGACCAGGTACCCGCCCGCCCGGCCCCCCTGAGCTGGTCACCCCGACACCCCAGCGTTTGCGACGCGGCCTTGCTGCCGCCTCAGTCGCAGGAGAGGAGCAGATCGGCCCGTCCAGCCCGGTTGGGCGTTGGTAAACTGATTGAGAGACTTCGGGAGAGGAGCCAGGCTGTCCGCGGCTTCAACCACCTGGCCGAGCTGCTTGTTCCACCCTCCCACCCCCCTCAGTGTAAAGAAAAGCACTAGCCTGCAGCTCTATCGCCACGCAGCTCACCGCTGGCAGCCCTCTGGAGCTCAGCAGGTGTGAGACTCCCAGGAATGCTAAGGCTGTTGCTGAAAGTGGTGTTAGTGAGACCAGTAGGGGGCGCTCACCCTGCGTCTGTGTGGGTCCTAATGCCCTACTATAGTGACGGGGACGCTATACTGTAAAACTGAGGTCCTGACTCTCTGTGGTCATTAAAAACCCCAGGGTCTTTCTCAAAAAGAGTAGGGGTGTTACCCCAGTGTCCTGGCCACATTTCCCCCTGGCCTCCTCATAACCCCCCTCTCTGAACTGGCTTCATCACTGAGAGCTGGGGTGTGGGAAGCAGACTGGCACTTCACCTAGGTGTGGGGTACACACTGTTGGGTGGTGGTGGGGGGGATCCCCATTGATCTGTCCAGAAAAGAACTATAGCAGTGCCAGGATTATTATCTGAAAACAGTGGAGTTGATCTTAGCGGTGGACAGTACAGTGTGTATGGAGCAGCACTCGTGTATTTCCCAGGCTGCAAGACAGTACTTGAGTTGTACACTGAGGTGGGGGGTCTCACAGAGTGCACCCCCCCTGTCTCCAGGCAGACCTGCGCAGCGAGATGGGCGACTGGGGGTACCTGGTGTTCGGGGCGATCCTGTTCATCTGGGAGCTGCTGCCCACCGCCCTGCTCATCGCCATCTTCAGAGTGAGGCGCCCCCCGCGGGACACGGTGGGTCCCCCGCTCTCTCGTTCCTGCTCCGCTGCGCCCCTCCCCGAGCGCCCCCTCCCTGCCTGACGCTCTCCTCCTCTCCCCCTCAGGGCAGCAGTGTGGCTATCGGCACGCGGGGGCCACGCTCCTACTTCTTCGATGATCCTCAAGGGGGAGAGAGCGACCCAGGGGGCCCCTGGGGCCATGGCACTGCTCAGCCTAACAGGTACCCCGAAATAATCGGCATGTCTCTCTCCAGCTGGTACATCAATTCAGTTCTCAATTCAAGATGCTTTATTGGCATGACCTACAATAACTCTCTCTCTCTCCAGCTGGTACATCAATTCAGTTCTCAATTCAAGATGCTTTATTGGCATGACCTACAATAACTCTCTCTCTCTCCAGCTGGTACATCAATTCAGTTCTCAATTCAAGATGCTTTATTGGCATGACCTACAATAACTCTCTCTCTCTCCAGCTGGTACCAGTCGAGCGAGTCCTCCTGGTTCGGATCCGGTGAGACGGCACCCCTGCTCTTCGCACGAGACATTCAGCAGACCAATCAGCACCACTCCTTGTACTCCACCCCTCAGAACTGACCAGTCGCGGCCCGACTTGGCAGTCCGGGCACCAGGAATCGACCGATGATGGTCTGAAAGATTGCACTACGAACAACGGACCAATCGCAGCCGGAGTCTGTGGCACACCCACGTCTCGGGACTGACCCATCGCAGCCAGAGTCTGTGGCACGCCCACGTCTCGGGACTGACCCATCGCAGCCAGAGTCTTTCATTCTTGGACAATCCCTGCCCGTCTGTCCTCCGAACTTTCTACTGGTGACTGGTCAGTACTGTGCCCTTGTGCTCCAACACTCCTCCTACCAGAACCAAAAGTCTCGACAGAAACAGGGACTGAGGGACAGCGGGACCGGTCACCTGTCCAGCCCGAGCAGGTGAGTTCGGCCCTGCAGCTCTGACCCACTCGGAGCAATGGCTGCTGTCTGGACCGTGCAGGACTGTCTGCTCACCCAGATGATGGGGGTCTTACTCCAGACAGCACCGCGCTGAATGGCGCCCCTCTCACCACCGGGAGGCTGTTTCCTGTTCTCCGCTGGGACGGGGAGCACAGGAACTACGCTCTGTTAAAACTGGACCGCCCCGAGCCACAGCGGGATCGGTGGGACAGGACGTCGTGCTGTAGGGGGCGCCGTCGAGCTGCGCAGCGGTGCACAGCTGCTGTGCTTTTGTTTCCTAGGAGAGTCCCCGCGTGTCAGATCTCACACTCTCACCAGCGCGGGGACAACGGGGGTCCCCTACCCCACTGGCCCAGCCCCCCGCCGTCCTCACGGATCCATTTGGGGTTTTCCTGAGGCCACATGGGGGCAGACTGGGGCTCCCCAGGACCAGGGGCTACAGAGAGGGGTCCTCCACTGGGAGCCCCATGACTCCATCCCAGACCGATCATTAGGGACTCAACTCCCATCTTTCCATTGTATTAATATTTCAGCTTTTAGTGACGTGTTAAGAAATGAGTGCTAATTAATAAAAGTTGTGTAATGGTAACAAGCTCTTCCTCTGCCTGTGTCTCGACCGCCCTCCCATCCACCTCCTGATGTTGGCTGGAGTTCTTGTCCTGTCCGGAGTGAATGGTGTTCATAGGACAGGACCTAGTGAGAGAGAGAGCTCTGCCCTCGACTGCAGCGCCTGGCGTTCACAGGACAGGGCCCAGGGAGAGAGAGCTCTGCCCTCGACTGCAGCGCCTGGCGTTCATGAGACAGGGCTCAGAGAGAGAAAGAGAGCTCTGCTCTCGACTGCAGTGCCTGGTGTCCAGGAACAAGGCGCCGGGCCCCGTTAAGACTGAGCAGCACAGAGACACGGACAGTCTGCTCCTCTGAAGAACAGGTTTATTCTGCAGTCTGTACAGATCATCCTCATAAAACTCTTTATACAGTATGTACAAATTAAATTAATCCTCCACACTCCACTGCTGTAGTCCGAACAGAGCCTGCCCCCCCCTCCTCCCCCCCCTTCGCAGAGATTAATAACCCAACAGAGAAAAAAAAAATACAAAAAGAAGAAAAAGACAAGCCTGTTATATGCATGACCCTCCCCCGCGGCAGCACAGTGCGCAGATACAGGAGGGACAAGATTACCCCGATGGCAGCCGGGATCCCTTTCCTCAGCAGTCTGCTCCATTTAGGAATTTTGTCCCTCCCGCGACACAGGACTCTGTGTACCAGTGCAGCAGGGTAAATGAAACACTGTAGAATTTAAAATCTCTCCCTGTGCAGCTGTGCCTGAGCCAGCCTGTGTCTTCACCCAGTGTTGTGTTTGTCCAGGGACCTCTGAGAGCTGGTAAAACGTGGAGCGGATCAGGCTGCTGGGAAACGGGACCTGGCCTTTTCACATCATCGCGCGCAGGCGGTTTCTGTGCCATGGACAAATGCCGCACTACACGTGGGTGTGTGTCGCTGAGCAGTGTCCCAGTATAGCAGTGTGTGTAGCCAGGGTACAGTGTACACTGTGTGTGTAGCCTGGGTACAGTGTACACTGTGTGTGTAACAGTGTGTGTAGCCTAGGTACAGTGTACACTGTGCGTGTGGCAGTGTGTGGAGCCTGGATACAGTGTACACTGTGTGTGTAACAGTGTGTGGAGCCTGGATACAGTGTACACTGTGTGTGAGGAGTGTGTGTAGCCTGGGTACAGTGTACACTGTGTGTTTAACAGTGTGTCCAGTGCACACTGTGTGTTTAACAGTGTGTCCAGTGCACACTGTGTGTTTAACAGTGTGTCCAGTGCACACTGTGTTTTACAGTGTGTGTAGCCAGGGTAGTGTACACTGTGTGTTTTACAGTGTGTGTAGCCAGGGTAGAGTGTACAC